TACATGAAAACACATTATCGACAACCCCATTGGTCCAAAACATTTGTCTCCTGGGCTGAAATCGTTGGAATGTTTCCATTAACCCAAATGGAGTGAGTGAGTGAGTATGGTTTTACGCCGCTTTTAGCAATATTCCAGCAATATAACGGCGGGGGACACCAGAAATGGGCTTCACACATTGTACCCATGTCGGGAATCGAACCCGGGTCTTCGGCGTGACGAGCGAACGCTTGAACCACTAGGCTACCCGACCGCCCCTAACCCAAATGCATCTGAACGATTGGACTCGGAACGCTCCGGACAAGCGGAGTTTGAGTTCACGGGTTTGATCCCTGCAGTTTGCAGTTTCTTCACAGCATCTGTGTGGGAGAGGATGAAATACGGTAATACATCATTATTCATTCTGTTTCACACCACCAACGGTCGCCTTGGCAACTATTCACAGTTTCTAGTCATAAGCATACTTAGAACAATATTATGTTTCTGTGGAAGTGGGCTCTAAATTGAGGTTGACAGCCTGCGAGAAGAATCGAACTATAGCCTACATCTTCCGAAAATCTCTTTTTGCATATTCATAACGTGCTGTCGACGTAGTCTGGAAATGTATATGAAGGACAACAAGTAATGTTGTTGTTACGTTTATAAAGCGTATCTCCATCATATCATGTACACAGTGCATAGATTATTTCTTTCTCTAAATGTCCTTCTAACAGTATAGAATGAGTATTATCTGGGATCGCTATTACTTTTCATGTATTTCCGTCGAGTAACGGTCTTGAGAAAGTAAATATGGTTTAATGCCGCTTTGAGCAATAGTCAAGCAATATCAGGTGGGGGGCACATTGTACCAATTGGTTGGATGGTTGGTTAGTTGGTTGGTTGTTTAACGCCGCACTCAGCAATATTCCAGCTATGTTACGGCGGTCAGTAAATAATCGAGTCTGGACCAGACAATCCAGTGTTTAATATCATGAGCATCGATCCACGCAATTGGGATCATGACATGCATCAACCAAGTCAGTGAGTCTGACCACCCGATCCTGTTAGTCGCCTCTTACGACAAGCATAGTCGCATTTTACGACAAGCATGGGTTGCTGAATGTTCTACCCCGGATCTTCACGGGTCATACGAAATGGGGAATCGAACCCAGGCCTTCGGCGAGATGAGCGAACGCTTTCACGACTTGGCTACCCCACCGCCCCGATGAAGGGATAGCACTCCAGCTACGGTAGTACTTATGTGCACGACAAGTACAGTGTTAAACAATATAGCACATAACTATTTTTTTCACAGACTCACTGAAAATGATACACATTTGTTGACTGATCCCTTAAGTGGTCAGTATAGGTGTGATGATATATCGTTGAGAGTTGCTTCCCTTAGCCTTGACAGGATCAACTTGGATCAAGCAACCTAAGTGCAATCAGTTCGAATCTAAGATTCACCACGTTTTTCATCACGTCATTTTTAATTCTGCAATATTCCAGCTATATAACAGCTGTCTGTAAATAATCGAGTCTGGACCGGCAATCCTGTGGTTGACATCATGAGCATCGATCCATACAATTGAGATACGATGGCATGCATCCACCAAGTCAGCGAGCCCGACCGCCTAATCCCGTTAGTCGGCTCTTACGACAAGCATAGTCACCTTTTACGGCAAGCATGGGTTGCTGAAGACCTATTCTACCCCGGATCTTCACGGGTCCTCATCATATCAGCACTTTATTCGTGCACGTACGTGTTTCACTCTGTGGTCAACGTATGACCTTAATCCCTTTGGAGAATTCGTTCACATCATTGTAACATGGCGTGGGCTGGCAGAAATTCTGTTCAAATCTGCGTTATAAACCAAACTCAATCACTTAAACGAGTTGTGGCCTAATCTTCATGAAAACGGTCATACGCCGTTGGAAAGCATCTATTTTAAGAGAAGACAAACTTGTTTGTTGTGCTGAACGTTTTCAAAACTCGGGTATAAAGTGTAGGCGTGACCTTTGCGTGACACCATGTACTGACGTATAATGTGATCACGGCTTCTAAAAGGGAATCAATATATGACAGTAATGAGATTATGACGCGCGTTCATCAGGCTGCCAGACCAGATGGTCAGACAGTGTTTGAACGGAAATATCGTACGAAATACTTATTACTTATTATCTGAAACACAAGTATAGCGTTCTCTCCCAATGAGAACTAAACTACCGAGCAAAAGAAAAAATATACCCGGCCATGTTTGATGATGGCTAAAAATGAAGCAAACAAGAAATGTTTTTTCGATGGTGAAGTACACTCTTCAAAAAAAGAAACGCACAGGTAGTATGTAGTTCATTGAACCTGACTACACAAAAAATCTGGTATATCAATTGGATATATGTTATTGGAAAATGTTGGTGGCCTGATATTCGACAAACGGTGCGTCAAAACGCAGCCTTTGTCGATTTGCAATGTCTTAAACGGCATTGTTTTCACACTTGTTCAAAAATGTCACGGAGGAAAACAGTCAAGCAAAATGCATGTGCAAGTTATGGCATTCGTAACTCGTGGTAGTAGGCTATAAAAAGGCAAGCAATAATTTGTCATTCAATTGTCAACATTTTTCAAGTTCGAATATGCCGAGACTCAGGGCTGTCGATCGGAACATCGCCATAAGACGTATCCAAAGAGATGAATCGCGGTCTTCTGTTGCACGCCGCTTCAACGTCCACCACAGCACCATTTGCCGCCTTTGGGACCGATACACACAGTTAAATTCCACTGCAGACCGTCCGAGAAGCGGCCGACCAAGCGTTATCACCACTGCACAGGATCGCTACATTCGACTGTTCCAACTACATCATCGCAAAGTCACAGCTACGGAGACTGCAGGGCACATCCCTGATTTGAGGAGGATTTCGAACCAGACTGTCAGGAACCATCTTCGCGAGGCTGGAATCCGACCCAGAAGACCAGTTATCGTCCCTGTTTTGCAACAGATCCATCGACAGCGACGCTTGCGTTGATGCCATACCTTACAGCCTTGGAATTTGAGAAACTCGAGACGAGTGTGGTTTAGCGATGAATCTATATTTCTTCTTCACTGGCGAGATGGAAGACAACGTGTTTATCGTCGTCGAAATGAGCGTTTTGCCCCACATTGTGTGCGTGAATTCGACAATTTCGGTGGCGGTAGTGTCATGGTGTGGGGGGCCATATCTTACACCACGACATCTGACTTGGCTGTAGTTCAGGAAATTTGACAGCAAATCGCTACATGAATCAAATTCTTCAACCTCACCTTCTTCCAAACATTTACCCCCTAGAGAGAGTTGTTTTCACAGGACAACGCTCCATCGCACACAGCTCGTGTCACGGTAGACTACCTTCATAATGCCAACATCAACGACTTGCCCTGGCCGTCGAGATCTCCAGATCTCAACCCAATCGAACACCTCTGGGATGAACTCGATCGAGGTGTACGTCAACGTCAGAACACGCCGCAGACAATCCCACAACTGGCCAACGCGTTACAAGCAGAATGGCGCAGAATTCCAAATGACAGAATTCGTGCACTTATCCAATTAGTGCCGACGAGATGCAGAGCCGTGAATGCTGCCCGGGGCGGTCACACGAGACACTGACTTCAGCGCAACCTTGTGGCCTTATGTGACATGACAATGAACAGTTTTCAATGCCTTTGTACAACAACATGTGACTATCGAGCTCCAAAATGTCATATTTGTATCTATGATATTAAATTAAATATATCGACTTTATTAGGTACAATACATTTACTAAAAATCTACCTGTGCGTTTCTTTTTTTGACGAGTGTAGTTGATACGAGTATCATACAGTTGTGTTTTGGACCTTAAGTTCGCTGTGTTTCGGCGACTGTTTTCAGCCAAGTAACGTTTGTAATTTTGGGGTCAAATACAATTTTCAAATGTATATTTTCTTTTGAACAACGTCATGATCCCATCTTTACTTCATCTTGGGCTTACAGTTGTCAGAGGAGTACACACAGTCCGTGATCGGACAAATTGTCGGACTTTCATTTTTCGGAAGCCTCAGTGGCTGAGTGGGTTAGATCGCTGACTTTGTGTGCTGGCGATTAGGTGCCTCACTCTGGCAGTGTGGGTTCCAATCCAGGACGGGACTCAACCTCAAAAGATATAGAATCTGTACTTTACTAAGAAAGTGTTATCCTAAACATAGCATCTGTTACATCACGTGCTGGTTTACATATGACATACGTTTCTCAAAGAGGAAAATATTTTTGCCACAGAGTTTACATGAAAAAAAATCGATGGAAATATTGAAAGAAATGCAGTTGAAACTCTTTTCAGAGACCGAAATATGTTTTGTCTCTGTGGCAAAAAAACATGTTGTTTAAAAGATAGGAGTCTTATCCTACAATTCAACGACTGATGCTTCTGCTGGTGTTATGGCACGAAGCGGTTCTCCCCTCTAATATAACCAACCGAAAAGAATAAACCGTCATCGTATCCCAATTGCGTGGATCGATGCTCATGATATCAATCACTTGACTGTCGACTGACTCGATTATTTACAGGCCACCGTCATATAGCTGGAATATTGCTGAGTGCAGTGTTAAACAACAAACAAACAATTTGAAGGGAATAAGCTTGGCGAAGTGGCAGCTAATGTTACAGCAAATTCCAAATCCGTTTCACACACTGCGCTGATTATACAGTCTATAGACTGAAAATGGCCTCCAGGCCTTGGAGCAGAGTCCGCCTTTAACATAGTAACCATATATGCATTAGGATTCGAACCCAGTTAGGTGTTTACGTATCACCAGCAATCCCACCGCCCTATCCAACCAGAGTACATATTCGGAATCATTTTATTGACAAATCAACAGAAAGCAATCCTCAATTTAATAAAATTGATTATTTTCAAGTGCCGTATAGCGGATCTCGGAGTCCCTTTCTCATACTCGTTAAACATGTTCCCGGTAGACGTTTCACCACCTCGCCCGAACACAGTCGCGTTCGAACAAAGGTGTGTCTTGGTGGAGGGTTTATCACACCGACAACATTGTGATGATCAGTGATGCATTAGCTGGATAGATTATTCCTGCCTCAAGAAGACATGTTGTGACTGGGAAAGACGGATGCGGTGTGTTTGCATTGTCGGATGATGGGTAAGTGTTTTGTGCAAATCACGAGAAATTGTGTTTTTTTATTTGTCGTTCGTCTTCTTCCCACAATCCCTTGGGTGGCGGCCATGCTTGTGGTCAACTTGAGAAGGTGCCATGAAATGTATTCAACTATGAAAAGTATGCTGTAAAATCGTGACGAATACGACACTCAGGAGTCAATGTTGTTGCTGCCAATTAATGAGTGAAAGCATTTATGAGCATTATTGATTTTTTCATTGACGAGTTTAACCTTCACAAAGTTAGTTCAATAGAAACATATTCATCAATGATTGTTGTTGTTTTTGCCACTGACATTTAAAAATAGTCATTTTATTGATTCGTCAAATCTTTTCCAAAGATCATTCTATGATTAATATTTTAAATCAATTGGCAATCTGGACATTACACTCCATATTTAAACCTATGTAATCTGAGATTTCTTTTCACTTCAACATGTTCAAATTCAGTTTTTATCAGTACAAAATGTTTTCAGTGGCCTGGTCCATACTGACAACACCTCCGACTTAACAAGGCCTATTATTTAAATGCATATTGTTGTTTCTGCTGTTGAGAAGGTGTGCCGAAACGTAGGCTCATAAAGAGAAATGGCAAAGTCCACTTCAATTTGAAGAATCTGCAATCACTATAAATTGACGTAATAAACATGTCATGGTGAAATCAGCACCATTCTCCAAAGTGCTCTTGACCTTATTCTAAAAGGCCAACTGATGTTTATTGGATTTACAAACTCCCCTACCAATACAAGTCATCAGTCTCTTTGTTAAGGGTCCTGTATCGTTAACCCTATTATGCTCTTGATAATCCAAACAGCAAATGGAACTGAAGCAGCAACTGGTATTGTTTGTTTGTTGTTTAACGCTGCACTCAGCAATATTCCAGCCATATAATGGCAGTCTGGTAATAATCGAGTCTGGACCGGACAATCCAGTGATTAATATCATGAGCATCGATCCACGCAATTGGGATCGATGACATGCATCAACCAAGTCAGTGAGTCTGACCACCCGATCCTGTTAGTCGCTTCTTGCGACAAGCATAGTTGCTTTTACGGCAAGCATGGGTTGCTTAGGACCTATTCTGACCTAGATCTTCACGGGTATTGAATTGAGAGGGGTCAATACAGGTGTATCTGAAAATTCTGCTGTGAAGTAGAAATGAGAAGACTGCGTTTGAAAAGACAAATGTGTGTGTGACAATTCACTCAAGCCAAGGGACAGGTTAAGACATTGCCTAGTTTGTTTAATCAGTAAACCTGTGCCGATTTAAAGATTTGTTTTTAGTGAAACCTCCCCACAATTAATGCAATTATTCATGATAGCTATTTGTTTACACAGCTTCAGTTGATCTTTTTAGAAGCTATCTCAGACACACACATTGGAAACAGAATTTTGATTGAATTTGTAAGGGATGTCATGACTCATTGATGTATTGATGTACTGTGAATTTAAACAGTCATTTAAAACTACAGTCACTAGTGAGTGAGAGAGTGAGTGGGGGGGCAGGGGTGGCCCAGTCGTCTAAGGCGCCGCGATTCGCTGTGCAGCGTTGCGTCCCTTGGGCAAGCTAGAAACTATGATTGTGGGTTCGAATCGAAGCCCCAATTATGTTTCTAGGTTTGTCAGCACCATACCCGTGCTCGTGGGTTTCACCGAAGTGGTAAATGTGTGAGACCTGCATCACTTCGGGCTTTCCTCCCACATTAAGCTGACACGCTGTGATATAACTGGAATACTGTTAAAAGCAGCGTAAAACCCAACTCACTTTACGCCACTTTTAGCAATATTCTAGCAATATCCACGTCGGGGGACACCAGAAAATGGGCTTTGCACATTGTACTCACGGTGGGAATCAAACCCGGGTCTTCATCATGACGAGCCAACGCTTTAACCACTAGGCTAACCAACCGCCCCACAGCCACTAGTGTTGTAAGGATATGGTAATACAGTATTGTATCCCGATACGAGGCCCACACTACATCAATTCACAACCCCTGTATCATGATACAAACGATACAACGCGTTACAAGTTATATTGGTGTAAAAACATGTGAATGAAAACAGAAACTGTTGAACAACAAGCTTACACAGATTCTTTAGTATTTCCTGGTTGGCCAAAAAACCAAAACATTCACAGTGCCCTCTAGCCTACCGGTATATTTTCTCAATCTGCCCTACAATATCCCATCTTAGATTACTGAAATTTATTAACAAAGGATTCAGGATTGTGATTCACCTGCAGAAAGAAAGAATTAAAATTAAAAATTAAATTTAAAATTAAAAGTACTGCATCGGGATATGAATTGTATCGCACCCGTAGTATCGGGATAAGTATCATATCATGCTGTGCCATTGCTAGTAGTGGGGCAAACACAGATGCATCGGCGGGTCGTGATTTTTAACTTCTCGATACAAGTTTCAAACACAGTAACACAAAATAAAAAATATCGATTCTTACCTTAAATGTTTGGTTTACTAACTGTAACACCAAACACTAAGTAGTAGTGAAAACGTATATATTTTCATCCATTGCGCCATACTTGACACTGCCAACTGTAAATCGTTAGAGTGCCAGGTATTTGGCGTCCTTTCTGTGACAAAGATGGCTTACACACCACAGATAAGAGCACATGCATGTATCATGATACGTATCGGCTCATGAGCAAGGTATCATGATACGTATCGGATCGCAAAGTTGATGTATTGTTCCAGCCCTAATCATCACATATCGAATGGTCACCTCTCATTAAGCAGACTTTTAGAAACAAATGATAAAATACTTTCAAGTTATCCTTGAGTCCCAACCAAGACTGTCATTAATTAGCATATTTTGGCTACATGTTTATGATAACTAGAATTGCGTTAGGTGTAGAAATTACATGAATCGTTTTACTGTTTTACCATAGTTTCACCTGGCCAATGCAAACAGAGTCATCATGACTCACGGCAAATGTTGTTAGAGTCATGAGCACAACTTAGAGGGTCATACATTTGTTATAGTCTACACAATATGGATAAATGAAAACAACACCATAAACATGATAGATATCTAACAATTTTTGTATGTAGGAATGAGTTGTGAGTAGTGGGCATGAAAGTAGTGTCAAATACACAGGGGGTCATGTACCTCATGAAGCACTGTTTAAATACCGATTAAATTGTTATTGTATCTAGAGGCAGATGATTTCTCAAGCTGAATGTGCGTAGCACTTCAACACATCGAATCCCTCGCTGACCATGACTGATAATTCATTTATACAATATCTTTTATTCATCAATGAATAATTCGTGGATCATATACAATATTCACAAGCTAATGCATTAATTGAGCATAAAGTCATTTTGTTTTTTATTCACCTATTTGCTCTGTAAAGTAGCGTGACATGATGAAAACTACTTGAGTTGACATGGATATGAAGATACGTTTGGCAGGTGAATTGCTATCCTTGATTATCTAGTGTATTAATAGTATTATATCACCATTCTATTTCATCGTATCCCAACTGCGTGGATCGATGATCATGATGTCAATCACTGGATAGTCTGGTCCAGACTTGATTATTCACAGACCGCCGTCTTATGGCAACTTTTTGGTCTTAATAAAATGAAGGGCGGTTCAAAAATGTAAGAAAGCATATCACTATGGAAATGGCAATGTATTGCTATACATATCACAATGTAGACCTTAGTATCGCAATATACTGCAATACATATCACAATGTAGACCTTAGTATCGCAATATACTGCAATACATATCACAATGTAGACCTTAGTATCGCAATATACTGCAATACATATCACAATGTAGACCTTAGTATCACAATAAACTGCAATACATATCACAATGTAGACCTTAGTATCGCAATATACTGCAATACATATCACAATTTAGACCTAACTGTCATAACATACTGCAATACATATTACAATGTCGACCTAAGTATCACAATAAACTGCAATACATATCACAATGTAGACCTTAGTATCGCAATATACTGCAATACATATCACAATGTAGACCTTAGTATTGCAATATACTGCAATACATATCACAATGTAGACCTTAGTATCGCAATATACTGCAATACATATTACAATGTCGACCTAAGTATCACAATATACTGCAATACATATCACAATGTAGACCTTAGTATCGCAATATACTGCAATACATATTACAATGTCGACCTAAGTATCACAATAAACTGCAATACATATCACAATGTAGACCTTAGTATCGCAATATACTGCAATACATATTACAATGTAGACCTTAGTATCGCAATATATCGCAATACATATTACAATGTAGACCTTAGTATCGCAATATACTGCAATACATATTACAATGTAGACCTTAGTATCACAATAAACTGCAATACATATCACAATGTAGACCTTAGTATCGCAATATACTGCAATACATATCACAATGTAGACCTAAGTATCACAATATACTGCAATACATATCACAATGTAGACCTAAGTATCACAATATACTGCAATACATATCACAATGTAGACCTAAGTATCACAATATACTGCAATACATATCACAATGTAGACCTAAGTATCGCAATATACTGCAATACATATCACAATGTAGACCTTAGTATCGCAATATACTGCAATACATATCACAATGTAGACCTAAGTATCACTATATACTGCAATACATATCACAATGTAGACCTTAGTATCGCAATATATCGCAATACATATTACAATGTAGACCTTAGTATCGCAATATACTGCAATACATATCACAATGTAGACCTTAGTATCGCAATATACTGCAATACATATTACTATGTCGACCTAAGTATCACAATAAACTGCAATACATATCACAATGTAGACCTTAGTATCGCAATATACTGCAATACATATTACAATGTAGACCTTAGTATCACAATAAACTGCAATACATATCACAATGTAGACCTTAGTATCGCAATATACTGCAATACATATCACAATGTAGAC